TTAGTTAACAAAAAGCTTAGTCGGTTAATTTTAGTTAACTAAAAAGTTAGTCGACTGATTATAGTTAACTAAAAAGTTAGTCAACTAATTTTAGTTACGGTATTTTTAGTTTAGTTAGTTACAATTTTTAGTTTTGGTCACAACACTAGTTATTAGCGAGTTTTAATTTTAAAAATGAAAATTATTATTTTGAAAAGAATATGAATTTGTTAATTTTTTTTTTAATTAATTTTGTTATGTTCAGTCATGAAGTACAACAGCTAAAAAGATCTCAAAATATTTTTCAAGGTATTTTTTAAGATCCTGGTTAAGACCTTTTTTTTTTTTTTTTTGGGAGGAGGGGGTGACAATTTTCATTGTCTTTAGATAAATATTTAGGATATACCTTTTTCAATAGGGACCTCAGAATGTCAGGTTAAATAATAGGTTGCAATGCTTCCAATTTTGATTAGAAAACCATAAATTTCAGCATAAAAGCATTAATTTCCCATTTAAAAAAATATTTTTAAATGTTTGGTTCACTTACTCTTTTTACTTTTTATATTCAACTACAAAATTCTAGGTTAAGGAACCTTCGAATGCTAGGTCAATGAAGCTTAATTTAAAAAAAAATTAAAATATATTTTTTATTCAATTTCTTTTTGACGTTATTAAATGAATATTATGCTTAAAGTATACTTCTGTATAGTTCCACTATCCGAAATGACGACTCCTGACTTTGGGACAGCCCTGATGCTAGCTCAAGAAACCTCGGAATGCTAGGTCAATGAAGTTTAATTATTAAAAAAAATTTAAGATATTTTCGTTGAATTTTTTCTCAACTTTATTAAATGAATATTTTGCTTACAGTATACCTCTGCATAGCCTTACTATCAAACCTCCTTCAAAACAGACTTTAGTCAGTTTTCTTTGTTTGCTTTGAAAATAAAAGTGTGTTTACTAAAGTAAAGTGCGACTAAGAAAGTGTTCTAATATTCCTTTGGTGTTGTTAACAAATAAGATATGGAATAGTCTTTTAATTTTAGAGTTAAACCAAATAACAAATTAAAATACAATGTTCAAACAAATGTCATAGAGATGAAAAACAAGCAGTTAATGGAAGCAGTTAAGTGGTGTCAAATCAGCAGTAAACAATGGTTGGGCCTTAATTATTTCAATAAAATTTCCACTAGTATAACTGATATAAGAACAGTTAACAAACAACTTTGTGTCATTAAAATTTGAAAGGAGAAAGAATATTGTTCAATTTTTACCAAAGATGAGAATGCTGCAAGTCTTTTTTTTTAAATATAACAGGTAATACGCACGATTGAGAAATAAAACTATTATCTTATAAACTGTTCAAGGTAAAAGAAATAAAACCTTTGTTTTTTATGATTATTGCATTAAGAAAACTAAACTTGTAGTATTTAGTTTTTAGAATGTTTTCAATGTTTTGAGAGTAAGAAAGCAAGCATGTAAAAACCTCTATGGATGTCAGATCACTAAGCTATCATCAAATGCTTAACAAGCACTCCAAACAAAGAAATTTAGTGAGTTTTTTTGGAAGCGCTGGGATGCAAAATATCAAAAGTACATCACAAAAAAGAGGCTAGAAATTATATGTAAAAATTGTCCCCATAACTGCACGAAATAAATGATGCGTAACCATCTTGATGAGTTAGTTGAAAAACTTATAACAAGTAATATTTTCATTGATGCAAACCAAGTAGAAACAGGTGTATGGCAGAAAGGCAGGGAGATATTGATATCACTAGATTTTACAATCATGAAGCCCCCTCACCTTTTGTAAACTATGGAGTTGATGGCACTCCAAATTTACTCCAAGTTTACTTTATGCTTGGAGAGGGGAAAGTTATCAAAAGATGATAAAAGAAATAGGGAATGCATAACTATACATTTTTTTATTACCTTTGGAGGAGATATATCAACTTGCCACATATTCAAGGAAAAAGGAATTACTTTGGAGTCCTGCCCCCAGGGCTCCAAAGTAGCAGTTAAACAAATTCAAATCTCCTTATCTCCACAAATGACAGTGCCAGCGAAGATCACAATACACTTTTAAGAGACTATCAAATGATTGACCTTTGACCTCTATTTAGAAAAAAACAATATAAAACGGCCTGTTGTTATCCTGTCTGATTTTTATTCTTCAAGATTTGACATTTCTAAGAAGCAAAAATACTCAAACTTTCATCACTCTACCTGACACAACTGCAGTTACCCAGCTCCTCAATCAAATCAATGAGAAATTGGACTCTGAGTACAAAAGTGCTAAATCTACACTTTATTCTTCATTTATGACAATCAACAAAAAAGGTTTTATGAATAAAGTTACAGAGTATAAAACAAACAATTACAAATGCAGGTAAAAAGTTGGGATTTGAAGTAAAGGTCTCAGTGTTGAGTGGATGCAGGAAGATAAGTTCTTAAAAGCTGTGCTGTGTATTTATGAAAATACTGAAAATAATCAATCATCAACATAACTAACAATTTCATCTCCAAAAGATATTTGTTATGAGTAAGCATTGGAAACATAAATACAAAATAGTAATGAAAGCTTATTAAGCAATACCTGATAAATCAATATCACTTGAGGAAATACCTAATTTGTTGCTTGTAACCAAAATAACACTTAAAGTGAACAAGGTAAATGTTAGATTTATCTAGGTTAACGGCTCAACGGATGGGGAAAAAATGTAAGAAACAACTTCATCAATCAAGGAAGACATTGTCAAAAAGGAACAAGCTAATAGAGAAAGTATAATCCAAGCAACAACAACAAATTGAGGCATTCTATAAATGTAATAGAGTCTACATGTGCCTAGAATGTTTGTGCTGCAACTAAGTTTTGAGAATGTTTGTGTTGCTGTAACTTTTTAAAATCTACATGCAGTAGATTTTACCTGCAGTAGAACATCCTGCTGAGGTGAAACAGGTTCAAAACCAATTATGATCAAACCATTTTGCAAAAGAGGAACCAAAAAATGCTTGCAGTTTGAATCTGATGAAGATAACGTTATAAACTTCTTTTCTATTTCTGATTTCTTCCAGATTACAATGTATCATTCTGTTTTCGCAAATTTTGGAATATAATTTATATAGATCTTATCTTTATATTTTTTGTTCATTATGTTTGTTTTTTTTAATTTGTTTATGTTACATTTTATTTTTAATTCTTAAAAGAAATTAATGTAGTTTATTATTTAGTTTTTTGAATTAGTACCTCTGCTATAATGCTAGGTAAATAACCGCAAAATGCTAGGTAATTTGAAATGCAATTTTAAGAAAATTGAATGTATTCTGTACATGTATCTTTTTAGCACTGTTTTTAGAGTGTTATAGCAAAGTTTCTTTGTAAACATTTTAAAAACTTATTTTCAGAAGCTCCAAAAATTTAAAATTGTTTAAAAATTTTTTTTTGTTGGCTAGTAACTTTCTTCAACGTATTTTAATTTAGAATATTTTCTAAGGATAACATTTAATTTTTTTTTTCTTTATGACTTTGTTCAGATTATTCATGACTTTAAGTATTTAATAATTAACCAACAACAACAAAAAAAACTTTGATCATCCAAAAAAATAATAAACTGCCAATTCCATGTGTTAACCGGTTGAAATAAGCGGTCATTTGAACATTCTATGTCTAATTTCTCTAATTGGATCTTATTACCTCTCTGATTGGATGGATCTTATTACCTCTCTGATTGGATGGATTTTATTACCTCTCTCAAGGATAAAGCTGAACATTAAACCAAATTTGTAAAAAACTTTTCTTCTAATTCGATTTTTGAATCTTATGACCATATTCTTCCTGCTATTCCTGTTATACAGGTTAAACCCGTTGTTAGACATTTAAATCACTTTAGCTTCCAATGCTAAAGTTGTTTCTCAACTAAACTCTTCTACAATTGACCGAACTTTGTTTTCCTGCTTGCTGGAAAATGGCATCCATGGTTCCAATTGGTTAAAAAAGGTCCCAATTTTTAAAAACTCTAGAGAATATACCTCTTCAACTATAGTCTGATCAGTCTTCCCTTTATTATTAGCAAGATTTTTGAGTCATCTAACACCCTATCTTGAGTCTAATAACTTACTCTATGACAATCGATATGGTTTTCGATCAAAATCTTTTCTTTCTTATCGCTTTATTTAAGTCATCCTCAAAGGCCATCTTTATTTCCAGTAACTTTTAGGGTACCACTTATTTCTATCCTTGGTTCTGTATTGTTTCTTATCTACATTAATCTTCCTGACAATCTAAAGTTTAAATTTTTTAAATTACCTGTTTGCTGACAAATCACCTTTATACTTATGACATCATAAATAGTCTTCTCTTTTTGATTACTTAGAAAAAGTCTCACTTCTGTAACAGTTTGGGGCTTCTAGGGGTGTGTGAATTTGAAAAAAAACTCAGGGATTTCCAGGGGTTTGTAAACTTAAACAAAACTCAGTTACTAATTGCAAACAACTATCAAAATACTGTTAATATTTCTATATTAATGA